AAAGTAGCATTTGGTTAAAAAAATTGTAACTTTATAATAAATGCACATAAAAAAATGACTTTAAGATTTTTTAGTTATAAGGAGTTTTGAAAAAAATACAAGAACTTAAAAAAAATTTGAAGTATACAAAAACGAGTAACGTCGAATTGAATCTTATGTTGTTTACAGGAAAATTCACAGGAAAAATGTTTTATATATAATTATATAAAATTATATAAAATTATATATAATTTCATATCATTGTATATATAAATTGAGATATTTATATATAATTATATATAATTATATATTATATATATATATTTATTTATTTATACATATTTACATATAAAATTATAATAAAATTATATATAATTATACATATATAAAACATTTTTTCCCAGGACAGTTACCATATCGAGCATAAATCTCCCTGTCTCTCCTATTATAAACATTTTTTAGGAGGTGATAAGGAACGCTGTCCAACGTAAGGGAATTGGACAGAAAACAGTAGGATATAAAATATCCAAAAAGGGATATTGTTTGTCATGGAAAATTATTATAATTTATAGAATTCTAAATAGGAGCTATAGATTTAGTAATATCAAAAGAAGTTTATCTTAGATACTTTTTATTCTTATACTTTAATTATCAAAATATGTCATTTAAAAACTAATTCAGAGTTGGATCAATCCTGAATTAATTTTTAAATAATTGTAGCATAACTGACAGCGATTTCATAATGATATCAATAAATTTTATTAAATTTTATTAACTTCCAATGTACCAATTTTTCTTTGAATGTAGTGTCATTATTATAATATTTTTCCAGTTTCCATAAAGAAAAATACACATAAAAAAATATATTAGGTGTTGGAATTAATTCGTAGCGTTTTTAATGAAAGAATGTTATTTATTTCACATGAGCATTAAAAAATACATTAATGAAAGTACTTCCCATCACTTGTAAAACGCTACGAATTAATTCCAACACCTAATAGAAATAAAACAATTCCTAAATGGTCATGAAAAAAGGTGATCTATACATCAGCTCCGAAAGATTAATTATAACATTTTATTTATTTGAATTACATACGTTTTCGATCTCGAAGATCATTTTGTACAAAAAGTATTGTTTTATACAGGAAATGCAACACAATCGTTCTCAAGAAGAAACCCTACATTTCCCCATACAAACGTTCGCGATGATATTACACGTGACTATATATGTTATCGTTGTAAACATTTTTTGGAAATACCGCGTAATTTGTCATCTCAGCCGTTCAGCGATGGAGTACCTACCTTTATAGAACAATGCAAAAACGAGTTGAATTTTATTCAGGCTATCGTTTGGTTAAAATCCTCCATTGCCTGCGTTTCTAAAATACCAGTTAAACAATTGCAACAGATATTTAATGAACAGTGGAACACATGCGATGAATATAATTATAGCGAAGATGAGTGTACCGATATTGAACAATTAAGATCTATGGATAAGATTGTATCAAGCAAGAATACCATCGTAACGTCAACTCCTCTGAATATTTGCGATATACCTTGTATTACACCTCAAAGAACGATCCGTAATTTATACTCCAGATCTAAAGATCCACGAAGTAAACCATTAAATTCCATGTCGGCGAATGATTTGAATGAATCCGTTGAGTCTTTGACACTTGGAAATTCTAATAGCCATTATATAGCGGCGAGAAAAAAGAAAAAAAATGTAAAATGCTATATAATTCCAGAAACGGACACGGAATCGATCTTAAATGACGATACATATTATGACCTACATGAACATCAACCGAGCTTTGAATTTGAAAAAAATACAGAATGCTCGATGAAGACTACATCGAAAAATGATATCCATCAGAAAAACAAAAAAATAATCGAGAACAAATATATCTTTCAAAAAAGTCACGCTGCAGACGTATCGAGTGAATATAATTTACCAGCAAGAAACCAATCTAATATCGATCCAATGTTTAAATACAATGGAGAGTTTGATGAGAGCTTTATCTCATCGAAAAGCCAAAATGATGTAGCTAATAAGGTAGATTATATAGCGAATAAGGTAGAATTTGACAGCAGATGTTTGACAAATATTGTTATAACTCCAAAAAATGTCTCTCAAATGTCAAATGCTCGGAACGAGTATTTCGAATTTTTACTTGATGGCAATAGTCCCTGTCAAGTTAGCAATATTTCCGTAGGGTGTACGCAGGATAGTGCGTACAGTACGTCACGTAACGATGTATTTAATATCGCAGTAGAAGCGGGCTCTATCATTGGCAATAAGCGTGTGCCAGATATCGAACATAATTATGAATTACAACCTTGCAAGAAGAAGACTATTACGTACGAGAAAGGGAAAGTTTCCTCTTCGATTAACGCGATGTTGACGTTCGATGATAATCCTAAAAGTTTTATGATAACTGACAAAAATATTTCTCAAATATCAAACGTTTATAATAGCAAAAATTGCGAATTTCAAGAGACACGGAGTCTCTTCAGTAGCGATGAGCAGATGAGTGATACCAACTCTAAAAATTTAGATGATGTTGGGGTGACAGCAAGGTCTATCATTGGCAATAAGTGCACAAAAAACATCGAGCATTGTTATGAACTGCAGCCTCGCAACGAGAAAACATTTACATGCCAAAAAGTGACTTTTCCTTCTTCCATAACACAAAAAGCTGTAATATCGCACACTAATATCAAGCATTGTTATAATTTGCGATCTTCTAATAACAGAAAGATTAGTCAAGAGGAAGAGGTCTCTTTTGCTAGAATACAGGAACATAAGAAGCATAAATTAGAACGAATAAAGAATTTATCAGAGGGAGAAAACGAAAATAAAGATGAAATTATTTCTGCCAATTGGTTGAACTTCTCTGTGGAGTCGCTACATATGGAAGGGATAATTCTTGCATCAATCAGAGTGATTCTCTCGACACTTTGCGACAAGAGAATGGTAGAAGTATACATGATGAGACAACAGCGAAGGAATACGCGCAATTATTGGAAAAGTAGTTGGGAAGAGGAAGCTGTGAAGGCGGTACTGAATATATCTGATATTTTCACAAAAGAAGAGAAACCCAATATATGCATAAAAATAATTATAATGAAAATAGTCAAAACTTTGAATGAGATAATGATGTGGGGTGGACAATTACATAAGATAAATTGCACTCAGGTATATATTACAATACAGTACACATTTTTTATATTTACAAATATTACATTAAATACGTATATAATATAATATATATATTGACTATTGTATATACGCGAATAAAATATATAAATATATGTAGGGTAGACCTATCTCGTCAAATACACACACACACACCACACACACACACACACACACACACACACACACACACACACACACACACACAATATGTATGTACACAAAAAAATAAAATGAAAATGTTTTAAAATTATTTAGAAACAGTATAACAACTATGCAATACAAAATTATCTTCTTTTTAGACATCCACGTGGATATATCGCGTACAAATAATTCTGGAGTTTTGTAATTCACTGCCGATATGCGTTAAAGTGACTGATTTTTTAATAACGAAATTAAAATCACTTCAGCTTTTATTGACCAGGAAAATTCAAAAGAACTGCGTCTTGATAGAACAATTACATCTTATATTTTATGCGTTGAATATCATTCTACGAAAATATCGTACAATTATATCGAGCAATCAAAGACCTCGGTCTGCAGAAAAAGTGATACCTCACGTCGAAGATCTTTGGAAAGTATATTATATTAATAAAGAACTTAAGCATGCAGGTCTGGATGTAGATACTGCGGAGAAACAATGGTTAAATGTTTTAGAAAACAGTACGGAGACTTTCATGAATTTTGGCTTTACAAAATTCGCCAAGGAGTCGTTTTCATTAGTTCATATATTAATTTAGGTGATATCAAGGATAACATATTACATATGTCACAACAAATTAGAATTAAATTTAATTATCATATACTTGTTTTTTACACACACATACACACACGCGCGCGTATATATATATATATATATATATATGAAACATACACATGTATACTGAAATGATGGAGAACTTTTCATATTTCGAAAGCTGATTATATCATTTCTTGTAAATTTATCAAAAATGGATAAATGTACGTCTAATTTTTTTCTTTATTTTTGAATTATATTAATATTTTTATGGATATCATTAATATATCATGTATTTTTTTTTAATCGCCCAACTATAATGTTTCGAAAAGGAGACATGGGATTATAAAAAGTTTCAGACAAAATATTATAATCTGAAAAAGTAATGGTTATTGGAAATTAGCACTGTACAAAGTGCGTGATAGAATGTTAACACTATATCTATATGATTTTTAATCAAGAACAATTATAATATACATTATATATACACTATATATACATATACCTTCCTTATCCATCTCTTCTCTCCCTACTTTCTCTCCCCTCTACTTTATTTTCTCCTTCTTATGTTCCTCTTCCTTTTTTAGTTTTCCATTTCAACTTTCCTGTCTTTATATGTCATTTTTTACTTTATCTCTTAGCTTCCTAGAGAGATGATCAATTTTGATTCCCATCGCATTGTCTAATCGATAATACACTATTTTGACACACATACTAAGGTATTTATTCTAAATTTATTTATACTAAACTCATTATACATATACAATGAATAATGGTATTTTACTTTTTCTCTATCGACATTAATAATTCTTATGTACATGTCTTATAATATAAAAAATAATTTTCGCCTCTTTCTATTAATTTTAATTTTATTAATTGCGATTTGTTTTGTACCTTTCTTTTTAATATTTGCGACTCGATTGTACTTGCTAACAGAAACATGTTCGTCCTTTTGCACACACACAGTTCGGAGGAACACATTGGTGTCAATTACAATCGTTTGTTTGGTTTTCTCTCAATTTGGAGCGAGTTTTATAGTTAATATTGCGTTCGTATGCGAATTTTATTTAATTTCTATATATTTTATCTACGTTACATTTTCATTTTTATCTTGTCGTCACATTGAAAATGATCCAACAGAGATCGAAACGTTTGTTCATTTACTGACTGTCAAATTATATTTTACATTTTTTAATTTCATGTTTTATTTCATTTTTTAACGTTTAATGCAGATTGTTATTTTGTGTTGATTGTTTTAGGCTCGTAGCCCTTTATTCTTTTCATTTATTTATAATATACATGTTTTGGCTAACTTTTTAGCCATCTTCAATACAATACTACAATAGCGCTCAATCAATCAAAGCGCTAAAAAAGCGTATATAATCGCTTTTTTAGCGTTTTGCAAGCGCTACTGTGCTACTTGGAGAAAAGATTCAATCCTTGGGATCGAAACGTTTGTAAATTGATTTTTAATATACCCAGATAGCAAAGCGTGTCTCAGCAAAATCGCATAAATCTGTAATTGCTTATGATGCTGGCAATTTGCCGTAGATTTGTCTCCAATAATTTTGAATATACCGATATTGTAGCAATAATGTGTGTATGTATTGTCAGCAGTTTAACAGCAAGTTGCGTCAATGTTATCTTGCGTTATGGGCAATATAACAGCATTATATGATTGCATATTATTATGGCAACATGATGGCAATAGTATGAATTTTGATGATGATTTTAAAGTTGTCGGCAAATTGCTACTCAATGTTATCATATCGTGAAAGCATCAGTTCCCAACAAATGACTCAAGGACTCAGTTGCTGCAATTCTAGTAGCAACACATACTTAGCAATGCATATTTATACTAGCAAACAATAAGATAGGACACGTTGCTATCTTATTATATCGTTGGGTAGATGTTCAAAGATACATAATAGTGGAAAAAGAAGGGGTAAAAATTTTTCCTTAGTTTTATTTGCAATATAAGTTGTAAAATCTAATTGAAATAAATAATTGAACAAACGTTAGTTATATACTATCTTTCATGAAAGTTCAGACATTAGTATAAATTCTATCAAATGGTCATAAAAAATTAAACCATTATTATAAATATTAATTATGTTACATTGTTAGATATCAAAGGAGCAATCTAATTCGTTAAGTTAAATAACAATTTGTTGTTTTTAACTTTAATATATATCAATCGATTTTTCAGTTTCAAAGTGTAGCGTTCATATTAATAATTGAATTTGAGATAAATTTAACCATTAAGAATCTTATTTTAGACACTAGATACATATGAGAACACAATCAATACGAACTAGACAAATTCAATATTTTCTTAAGTTACAACTCTATTATTTTAGTAAAGTTAACGGCATATTGAGAAAAATCAATAGCGATCTATAAAAATGATTGAAAATAACTCAAATATAATTGATCAATGTTACAAATTTAATAGTGTATTCTTTTATATATTTTAGACTACTTGTACATATATTAACACTAATAACTTATAAAAGTTTTATAAATTATTTTCAATTTTATATGCTAAAATGCATAGTATTTATTTTGTAGAATATTAATAACATAATCGATAAATTACAAATGTTTGCTTTGTCTTAATCTTTTGCATAATCGTTAAATAAAATTTATGCAGGTGTTCGAACTTCCATAAACGTTAATAAAATTATGCAGAGAGAGAGAGAGAGAGAGAGAGAGAGAGAGAGAGAGAGAGAGAATAATTAAAATTTTATATAACATGCCCAATAAACACTCACTAGTATGAATATGATATAATATACGTATGGTTTTGTCATTAATCGTCATTAATCTTTTATTATAATTTTATTCAGTGTCTAAGATTTCAATATCATCCCAATCAAAATCATGACTATAATGCAATCTATGCTCAGTTATTACTGATTTTGTGGTAGTTTCTTCTGTGATAATTTCTTTTGTGTTTGGTTATTCTAGTCTTTAGTTTTAATTGTCTGAGCGTTTGTTCAATATAGATTCCATTACAATCTTTGCACTTGATTTTGTAGATTACATTCTTTCTAGACAATTTTGAAACCGGATCTTTATGAGCTTTTATAGTATTATTAAGTTTGTTCATACTGAAGAAAAAAAGTCTCATATTTAAATCTTTGATAATATAAATTTATTTATTTTTGGTAATTTAAATTTGTTAAAATTATATTCATTGAATGATATTGTAAACCAAAAATTTTTTATTACATCTTCATTGTCAGTTTTTTTATTTTGTATTAATGTTTTTTTTATTAATGAGACTTTTTATTCTTTTAGCTGTCAAATATGAATTTTAAAGGATAATCATTGTCTAAAAGAACTTTTATGATAAAAATCCAGATGTTTTTCTATAAAATTCTATGTCCGATAAAAAGAAAGCTCTATCCATTAAACTTATTATCGTATCTTTTTCTTGAGAAAGAGGATATTGAGACAAAAAATTGAAATACCTTCCCGAGAATGTTGATTTTTGGTACCAATCAAATTTTATTATGTTGTTAGAGATAATGATTATGGTATTAAGAAAATTAATTCTATCAGTACCCACTTCAAGTGTAAATTGTAATCTCGGAATAGATTAAATTATCAAGTATTGCATTTATCATTGTTGTCATATATTGTCATTAACGTATCTGTAGAAGAATAGAATATCAAAATCTAGTGTCTCAAGAACTTCTCTCTAAGTCTTGATTAAATTAACTATCATCAGGGAAATCAATGAGCCATCAATATGCCGAATTTTTGTTGATAAATGTAATTGTCATAATATGAAAAGTAAGTAAAGTTAAGTACAAATCAGATCGCCATTAAGAATTCGTCTCTATAAGTATGCTGCATTTTTTAAATATGAAATTTCATTTTTAATGCTCTCAACTATTTTATATATATATATAATTAGTTGTGTCATCATTATGTGTTTTTCTCTCAGTGTAGAGAAAATAAAAGTGCGCGAATTGTCAGCAGTACGTATATTGTAATTAAATCATACACGCTGATAACGCAGATTCAAACTTATCAGCTACGGATACAAGTGGTCGTTATTTCGGAAACGGCAGACCAATGTCTTTACGGATGTGGCAATATAAAGGAAAATTCTTATCTAGAGTTACAAGACTACTCACGTAATATCATAAATCATTTCTTTCTCTATATTTTACACACTTCTAAATTTAAAATAAGAAAAATTTTTAAATTAAAATAAAATCAAAGCTCCCGAATTCATGTAAATAATTTTCGACCTTTGAGAGTAATTAATTAAAACTTATATTCACGGATCATTATTCAATTATTATTTGAATTAATATTTCACAAATCCTATCTTGCAAATTATAATTATATTTAATTATCTTTTAACAATTTGACATTGTTGTTACATACCTTTATAAATAATCTAAGATTTTTTAAAGAATTTATAGCTGATTAATCTTCAATTAGCTCAAATAATCATAAGTCAGTATTTGCAGTCTCTTACCAAATTGTTGGAACTATGCAAATTGATATAAATCTCCGAATTTACTGAATGCAATAAATTCTTTTACAGGATTAAAGTAGACGCAAAATTTGATAGTACTGCAATAAATTTTATATTGCAATAAAATTTTATTGCGAAAAAAAAAATAAAAAATTGCATTTTTTCAACTCGTAAAGCTGTCACTTGATGTAGATATTTGTTTAATTAATACAAAAACTTACTTGTATGGACAGTGCAGCTAAACTAAAACCTGATTGTATCAACGACTTTACTTTGATTTTAAGCGAGGCTTAAAAATCTCTATCTCTTCCACTCTCTCAGTTTTAAAAAGAAAAAATGAGTTTTAAACCTCGCTTAAAGTTAAAGTAACGTTGGTGCAATGCCTAAATGTATTACAAATTTATGAAACTGAGATTAAAAGATTAAAAAGAAAGATTTATATCTATTTGTGTATAACGAACGCTAAGCAAAAACTCGGAATGATAAATAAAGCAATAATTGTGTTT